ATGACTATGGAGAGAAAAAAAAAGGTCAACAATGCAGACATGGGTTGCATGGAGCTGTAAATCACAATGGAGGGGTGTCTTTTGCCCTAAATCATGAAGATTAGGTCAATTTTGGCGTCCAAATCAGTTTTCCGTTAACTAATAGTGACGAAGACGGATAGGGGGATTGGATTGCAACACGGGTGGAATGGTGGGGTACAAATTGTCACAATTTGAAACCTGGGGTTTAATTTGAAAAGGTGCTAAACCTTAGGGTTTTTTGTGTAATTTCCCCTTAATTAATTAATTAATTAAAAGCAAACACATAACACTTAAAAACTGAGGTGATACCCATTGCTAATACCTACCAACTTCAAACTTGTAAGGGAGACTCTAAATTGCATATCTAGCAACTAATCTGAACTTTTCTCAAAGCCTTTTCAAAGCTTCCATTGAGGGAGTTTTGTATCTAGAGAATGACAGAAAATGTACAAAACCACAAGAGGCTTCTCATTTACACTTTATTTGATCAATAACATCACAGGAAACTAAAGACTTGCCTGGTGTCAAAAAAATTGTAGATATATATGCCAAAGTCCTTTTGGAGCCACAATATATCATGATCCATTACCTTCCCTATGTCATTAAAATAGACAAGGAATTGTATAAAAAAAAAAAAGGAAATTCTTGAATATATAGATATATATAACAAAAGGATTTGAAAAGGAAAATCACTGTAATTTATTTATTTTTTCACTTTTGAAGTTGTTCTTCTACAATCCCTTTGGAATTGACCAAGTTTTTTAGCAATCAAACAAAGGCAAAAAAGAAAATGAGGTAGAGATTTCAAGAATGCCAAAGTTAGAGAACAAAAACTTTATGAGATCTATGAGCCACATTTGCATTTGCACAGCTTGACTAAGAAAAGACCAACAAACTACAATTACCTTGACATGTCCTAACAAAGTTACAAATTTCATAATACACAAACATTTACTTGTGCTTAAAATGGCTCTTACTTTGGTTTTCAACCACTCCCAATGATTAAGCAAATAAATTATCCTCATGTCATTAAAAAGGTTATTTATCGATCTTGACCCATCCACATTTGAGTGTATAAGACAGACATCTCAATTTGTTTTGCAACAGTACATTAATTATGGTACAAGTAATGAAAATAATGTCTAGTAAAAAATTGAAACTCCATACTTATATATACGATAGTACTATCCCCTAAAAGGCTTTCATTGACTTTTTTTGCAGGCTGCTTGAAAATTGAACCATATTGAAAAAACAAACAACCAAGAAATCTGGCTAGGAAAAAGAAAGAATATATCACACATGCTCAACCTGAATTGCTCCACGAGATTCCTCCAGCTCTGCATAAGCATACTTTAGAATTTCTGAATCTAACCATGAAAAAACAAAAATAAGAAATAAAGAAGAGAAGGAAATGAAAGAAAACAGAAGCTACTCTAGCCTTGCTAGAAGAAAAGTAATGAGCCAATAAATTGTTAAACCAATATTAAATTAGGAATGTTAGGATAAAGTTGTATGAATGGACAATAAAAAACCAACAAATGATTAGAAAGTCTATCCACCAAAGGCAAAGTAGAGAATTATCAATTATCAATATCAGGAAGAGCTTTCAAGCTCGTTGAAATACTTCGCTTGTAGAGTATACTGCACCACGTTTTGCATGCCATGTAGCATAATTGTACCAAATAGTGGACTTTGATTCTTTTTATTTCATGTATGTAATAAAGTTTTTTCATTACATATTTAATGATTATAAAAAATATTACAGTCATAAATATCTCAATTGAGCTTCTTAGCTATAGAATCATAAATCCATTCTTAATGATTCCAAAGAATATGTACTTGGAAACAACAAATGGTATCAAATGCCACATATTTTATAGGACAACATCAAATTTCAAAAGAAAAAAGAGAAGTAACCCATGATAAGGATGGTGAGACAACTGACAAGTAAGATGAGAATGGCTAGGCATATAAATAAAATTATTCCTTAGCATTTGGATTGAGCACTAACAGATAAAAAAACAGAGAATAAAAATAAATGAATTAAAACAGTGAGATGGGTTGGAAACAAATACTATTTTGCCACTGGAAGCATATGGATCGATTTTTCTATAAAAATTCTCTTTTTGAATGATGTTTTCTATGAAAAAATAATTAAGAGTGACTCATTATCTATTACATTTTTTACAGGAAACATATATTTTGACAAGATCTAAAATAATTTCCCCAATTCTTAATAAAAAAGGATAAATTACCAATATGTCTTATTTTTTGAACTTATTACCCGTTAAGTCCTTTTGATTAATTTATCAATCTCTCTTGTTTTTATGAATAAATTTACAGTAATAAATTTATCAGTCAGGACCTGTATATAAATAAGTTTAATTAATGGAATTGATTGGTAAGTGCCCAAAAAAAAAAAAAAAATGCATTGAAAGAAAAAATCGCTTCATATGAAAATTTTCCCCACCAAACTTTCCAAGAACCCCCTCATTTCGGAAGGATACAACTTTCTTAATTTCAAGAACTCTCACTACATAATACATGAGTGTAAGGCATTACCTCCAAATGTATTCAAAGCCTAAAATTCATCTAGTGCAAGTGTAATATCATGCCAATATAAGGGAGATTGGTTATGGTTCTTACTTTTTGAATGCTATAAATCTTTTCCACACCATCCACTGCAGTTCTTCCAATAGGAGCACAATAATAGATTGCATTCTTCCACTAATGTAAACAATTAAGAATGTATAATAGTCTTTGTGGTATGAACATGTTAAAAAAATTGTCTTTGTGGTATGAACATGTTAAAAAAATATGAAGCCATGTAGCTCCTTGAAAACTTTCCAATATATTACCTTATACCCATAACAAAAAGCAGACAACCATTTCGGAAAATCAATATCAAATGAAGGGAGAGTTAAATTTTTCATCAAATCAAAGGAGTTTCATCAAATTTTATATGTAGCTATTGGGCCGAACGTCTTCCTGGAAAATCGGGGTTTCTTTATATAAATGTCAATTTTCACTCATAGCCAAACGTCCTCTCGGACAATCGGCGTTTATAATTAGATTTGATGAAAATTTTAAATACACCATTGGATTGCATCATATTAGTTCAAACTTTTTATCAAATTTTTAATCAAATTTGATAAAGCATTGGAGATGCTCTAATATTGTCAAATTTGCAGGTCAATAGTTCTTTTATTTACATACAATACACTTGTGTCGACAAATCAATTTTAAAAAAAATAATAGAGCAAATTACATTGGTATCCCTTGTGTGATTTTGGTCCTAACACTTTCAGTTGACTCAATTTTAATCCTTAATTTTAGATTTTGTATCAATTTGGTCTAATTGATAATGTTTTAGTTAAGTAAGTTTATAATTTTGCCTTTAAAAATATCACAAATACCAATTATAAAAATGCTAAAAGTTGAATTAATTGAACTAAATTAAGACAAAGTTATAAATTCAAGGTTAAAATCGAGCCAATTGAAATTATAAAGATCAAAATGACACAATAACCAAAATACAGGGACTACCATCGTAATTAACCCAAAATAATATCATAATTTAAATGGAAAGGAGAGAATATTTTTCTTACAAAATTTCTCAGTGCTCTGAAAAAAGGAAAAAAAAGAAAAGAAAACAGCAAACTTTGAAGCAGGAACCTGCAAGTACAGTAAATGACTACAACATATTCTAATAGCAGACTAATATCAACAATGTTGGTGAATAATCTTAAACAAAATTTGTACAAAGAAGCAAATAATTTTGTTATAAGAACCAGATGGTAGTACAACAAGCATATTCTAATCAATTTCACCAACATATTTCTTTAGTTAATCGAACAAAATTAAGCTAATTGAATGTAAGTCATATACAGATTCAGATTGCAATTGTGCAGTCATAGAAATCTCTAAATCTTGAGTGAACTATGATAGTCTAGATTGAAAAGTCCTTTCTAAAAGAACTAGAAACCCATCTAACTAGATGGATGAAAATCAAAGGAGATCGAACAATCTCGAAGAAAAAACACTTGTGGGAGATAGAGAGTTTGTGATAAATAAAAAAATAAAAATAAAAACGATAACATTTACTAGGATAATTGACAAAATGAAGTATGGTAAAGATAGAACGGTGCTAGAGAAACGATATATGGTGGCGCTTAGATTAAAACAATGCTAATTTGCGACGTTTTCAAGCAAACGCCTTAATCTAACATTGTAAATTGTAGTAGATCATTTTTCTTGTAGTGAATTATCGGAGTATGCTATGTCTCATCACACACTACAAGAAGTTGGGTCTTGAATGACGAAATTCTTTTGTCTCCAAAGAGCTAATTTCGTCACTATAGATATTTGTGAGGAAATGTTTTCGTCACCGGTTTCGTCATTGAATGTTTGTCACTAAAAACCATTCGTCACCAATGAAATTACTTCAGTGACGAAATTTTTTGTCACCAATAAAACAACATTTTGTCGCCAAAAATTTTCATTTTCGTCACCAAATAGTTATTCAATAACATATTTATAACTTTAGTTGACGAATAAATTTGTCACACATGTTGATCGTTGATGAGGAAATAATTTCGTCACAGTAAGATGTAAAGGTGACGAAATTCTTCGTCTCCAAAAGTCATACATGGGTGACGAAATATATTTCGTCACAAATATATATACATATATATATATATGTATACGTGACGAAATTTTTAGTCACCAAACAACAAAATCAATGAAAACTCTCATATATATGCTACAATAAATTGTCACAAAAAATATTTATTAGCGACGAATAATCACTTTGTCATAATAACAAGTACAAATGACCAAAAAATTCGTCACTAAACTTGTTCTATATTTTATATTTCAATTTAAATTATTATTTCACAAATATCCCTGCTCATATCCAAATAGCCTTTGAAATGTACTAAGAAATCAACTAGCTATTATACACCACTCTACAAAAAAAATTCACCAAACAATTTATATTATAAATCAAAATATATCCATCAAACAAATTTAATAATAATCCATTAAGTATAAGAAAAAAACCATCATAGCAAATCCCAAAATGAACTAAGACCATCTCCAATGGCATTTTCTATAATATCATTGCTATTGTTATAATTTGGCAATGAATAGTAATAAATCGCCAAATTATTACAATGGTGCTCCAATTGTCACATGCTATTTTCGCAATTCTAAACCAACTTTCCCTCCAAATCAACACTCGATGTTAATTTGCAACTAGAACTAAGTATCAGTTTTTTGGGGGGGGGGAATTTCAACACTTGATCTTCCTTTGCAAGTATGCTTCTAGATGTCACCAAAAACCAATCTGCAAAGAAAATAAATAAGAAAAACATTAACATATTATCAATTACATCTAAACTCATATATAAATAATTTTATTTTACAAACCAATTAAGTAGAAATGCATATAACAATCCCAAACTTCAAAGAGTTGAGGTGATCATTGATGATAAGCAACACGAATAATAGAAGATGCCAAAAGATTATAGGAATACCATTGTACCAATGATGTGTACTGATCCATCACTATAACCAAACTTTATAAACAAGGCTGTGGCAATCTATTATTCCAGTAAGAAAAACAAAGAACAAGTTTTCATATAGGCTGCAAAGCAAGACCAGCACGAAATTTCCTGACCATGTCCACTTGAGAATTGAAGTCCAAATTGACCTATAAAAGCCAGAAATGTGTCCAACATTTCCCATTCAGACACAACTTATAGATTTGTAAGAAAAAAAAATGCTAGTGACTTCAAAAGTCCTGATTTGAGATGACTGGAACACCAAAAATGTATAGTTTCTCACACCTGAACAGTGCATGTCTGAAACATCATGTCAAGTCCAAGAGTGCCAACTTTAGGCATGTAAGTCCTCATAATCTTATATCTTCCCTAAGCCAAAATACTATGTCAGTACACAGATAGTTGATCTTGTATTCATATATCGATGTAACACTGTTGGTTTTTCTTCTTTTCTTTTTGTGTGTGTGTGTGGATAATTCTGTTGTTGATGTTTGGCGTTTCTACAAATTCACATATTTGATCCATGAAACTTATTAATAATATGAACATTGTTTTAATGTTTTCTCATAATCTAATCTTCTCCTTTTTTTTTTTCTTTTTTCCCCCCTTAATGTGCAAATTAATTTAGGTTTGATTTTTCTTTTCAAGCTCAAACCCTACTCATATATGTAATTGAGTTGATTTGAGTTGAGCTCAAGTTTTTCAAGCACTACGCAAGCTGAGCTTGGGCTCGATTTTTTGAGCTCAACTCAAGCTTGAGCTCGACTAATTTCAATTAGCCAAACTCGAACACCCCAAAACTTGGCTCGACTTGTTTGCAACCCCAAAAGCAAGTAAGCTGAAGGAGTCATACAAAACTAGAACAGGAACCTTGATGGGTTAGGCTTAAATCCGGGCTGTGCATGCTGACAGGTATCTAAATTCCTTTTTAGTCCTAACTGATTCAAAATCTATGACAAAGTAATCAATTGTACCAGTGAGTTAAGTCTTTGCAGCCATATGTCCTACAGGTCATAAGCCATGCTCAACTGGTGGTAGTGGGGTAGGAAACTAATCTGCAGCACAAACAACTAGCTCTAATTTGGAGGATACCATAAAGCTGGTCCAAGTAACCAAGCTCAAAAAATTCATCACATCTTGCTTATATATAATAAGTACATCTTCCTAAAATTCCCCCCACAACCTATGATTTAATACATGTCATCAAGCATGTGTTCTTCCTTCAATTTCCTTCAACTCACATGTGATCCTCAAATATGATAAGCTTGGCCTTCCATAACATCATGTGTGATTCATGATACCATCTAGCATAGCTAATAGTTCTTGGTCATCATAACATAGACTTGAGATCAAATCCCACCTTCGTCAGAACCACATAAAAACTAAAAGCCATGATATATCACATACATTCATTTTCTCATAAATCATAATTGAAGAATTACTAACATATTGTATATCAGCCACATGTGTTCATCTATATGCTAAAGTTATGATTTCAGACAAACATGATAAAGATGTGAATTAACCTCAGCACAAGTTTGATGTAGAGTTTCAAGAGGTGCACCACTAAGCTCAAATTAGCCTCCTGGTTCCAATGATATGCTTTTCTTTGCTTGCATGATAGTACTATGAAGTCTGTAAAGTTGCTCTCCAGAAATACACCAAAAACAAAAGGTAAAACTTGATGCATGTTACTTTTATGAAAAAAATTCAGAAAGAACAAGAATGAAATTTTTTTATTGCTTTTGAACCAAAAAAATAGAGCATCATTGTCCATACAGAAGTAATACATGAACCAGAAAACGGTTAAAAACTTTCCAAGTATTTAGATAAATTTTTTTTTATTTTTTATTGGAAAAACAAGATAGAAGAGTGTCTACCTGTTTGAGTCCAATAATGTTGTCACCCTTCATTAGTTTATCCTTGTCAAATGTCTCAGAAATACCATTGAGCAACTCTGCTATCTGTTTGTACGTCATAGGCCTTAAAGTTTCACTCTCAAAGCCGAATTTTTCATGTTCTGTACCTATTCTGCAGAATCCACACCATGAAGTTCACAATTCTGAACAAGATAGAGAAAAATATTCAATAACCAGTAATTGGATTCCGAAATTATTTTGTGACACCAGAAAATGGAATTGGAATCTGTAAACAAGTCCAGAATAAACATTAATTGATGTGGACAATGGAATTCAATATATAGTCAATTGCAATATTGGAGCTTCATGTCCAGGCAACCAAAATACCTCCTAGGTTCATTTCATTTTTATTAAAGTTATTAGCCAACTATGTGATCTGGTAAGTTAGAAGTTAATCAAAAATAAATAAAAATAAAAAATCAAAGTATCTTCAAGTGCAATATATAACAAGAGACACGAACAAAAGAAATTACTAACAATTAACAATAGACTACTTAAATTAGTACTGAAAAAAATCACTGTAAACAAATTAATCCCTCACAACAAGTGCTGTGTAGTTGAGTCATTAACACATGATATTTTGTTATATAATTTTTTTCAAAAAAAGAACAGAGAAGGAGGGGGGGTGTGGGGGGGAATGCTATCAACTGAAAGGTGTAAGCAATGATCAATGCCTATATTTTTATGATGCCTCCTACGATACCCTACCTAATTATTATTTGGGATTTTAGGTTGACTGCTGTGGACTACAACAGCTCTCCTTCTTTATATTAGATGCACAATTTTTAGCTGAAATACAAGCAAATCAGCTATGTAGTGTTATTGTGACATGTAGACAATATGTGTGTAAACAATATCACATCTACAATAGTAAATATCAAGGTCCAACTGTAACCAAGCAACCTGCTAGAGTTATAAAAACAAAAGTAGCTGCACAGTATTGTAATCACAACAAGAAGCAATGGCGATTATTTTTTAAACAAAATTTATTAAACTAATGGAAGTGATCAAAATGACAAAAGCATCAATAAAGGCAAGGTGAAGGAAGAAAACAAGCTAGGAGCATCTGGGTGCTTGAATTTCCTCCCAAACAAAATTCCTTCCCAAACAAAATTCCTTCATTCTGTGTTCATATCTAAGGATAAGAAATACTGCTTTGACTTCTACACCATTAATTAATCATCAAAATTTTGAACACAACATAAAAGCAAGAGACATGGAATGCAAGCAAATAAACTACTCTCTGTTATGCAGTAAGTTGCCCCATGAAGCATAATTAAAAAATTAAATTAGGAAGGCATTTAATTTTTCATTGTGACCTGATCCCCTATAAGTTTATCAGTAGCCATTGAATTTTCCATTGTGACCTGACCCCTTAGGGTGACAACTTTGCCAAAAAGTTCAAAAAAGCCATTGTCAAATGCAAGACCAAGATTGACTCAACCATTGCAAAAGTTAAAACTTTCATGTTTTCAATTTTCGTCTAGTTTTGCTCTTCGATGTGAAGCTGAATTTTGGTACATTGAAGAATTTATTGAGTTCTCTAGTGGAGCAGTTGCAGAAGCTTTTTGGCTACGTAAAGGAGTTCATGAAATTGATGAGTGAAGCTGTGAAGCTAATTGGATATGGGTTTAAGTACAATTCATGTGATGATGACAAAACATTTTTGGAAGAGTTAATTAGTCTTATATCTGGGATTTTGGGTATAGAGAAGAAAAGCCATCCACATGAATTCTATTTCAATCTTGAGAAATTGGTGAAAGAAAAAATTAACAGTTTATTGAAGAAAAATTTCAAAAGTTTGGCTAAGGATCCACAAAGAAGAGGCTTCTTTGTTGATTTATGTCTTATTGCTTTGTTCGTTCTCTTGAATTAAGTGTATCTTGGCCTTCAAAAAAAAAACGTCTACTATAATGCTTTGAATCTAATTTGTGCTTTTTATATCTCTACCTAGAGCAGCCCTAGCAAGAACATGGGCCGGCTTTACACCCAGTCTCATGAACTTAGTAATTTAATTTAATTTTTTTTTTGGGGTAGAAAAGGTTCTTCATAGAAGAAAAGTTAACATTTAACAGAGTATTTTGTATTTTAATACCCCTAGCACCATCAAACAATTGATAAGAGAAATACAATTCAGCATAATGAAGAATATTATGAGCTCAATGTCTCTGTTAAATTCTTCTTTGGTTAAATAGGTGAATAGCACTTTAACATCTTCAAGAAAACCAAATAAATTATAATCAATCTATTTTTTCATGATGAGATAATTGCAAGAATAATTGAATTTTGGTGCCATTTACTTAAATTACCATTGAAAGATTAGTGTAAAGATAATTATTGTAGAGAATTCTAATATACTTGGCAATAGAATCTTAAACTTCACCCTCAGTGATTTGTATTTATGGACAAAAAGAATGACTATCAACAAAAATTACAGAACCTACAAACCAGTTAAATCTTGAATTAAAACATGACTATCAACAAAAATTACAGTACATGGAATTCATTGACCACTGCTCAATGAATAGCAAAAACAGTCATATTGACCACTGCTGAAGGTATGAACCTTCGAATTAAAACATGGAATTCATTATTCATAAGCAATCACTGTAAATCTTGTAGGATTTTGGATAAATGACTATCGACAAAAATTACAGAACCTACAAACCAATTAAATCTTGAACGCACAGTTCAATTGAATTCATAGGTTAGGGTTCCAATGAGGTTCTTCCATTGTTGTTTCAAATATTACCCATAATGAAGTGTGTATTTACTTCTTTTTTAAGATGTTCAAAGTTTGTAATTCTTATGAAAATTAATGAGTGCAGATGTTCAATAAGCCAGGGAAATTAGCAACAAAGATAGAAAAAGAGAGAAAATGAGTGTAAGATAGAGAGATGACCCATACCTAAAACTAGAAAAATAGAGAAATAATTGAATACTACTCGAAGCGACGCGGACAGCGCTGTCGATTGCTCGGAGAAGAACGAGGGAAACATCGGTAGCGGCACTGAAGGAGGAGAACGAGGTGAATGAGGAAAAGGGGCGTTGTGTTTTGCGAGAGAGGGATGGGAGGAAAACCGATGAACAAAAAAAAAAAAAACGAAAGAAAAAAATGGGTTGGGGGGGGGTTGTTGGAGGGTTGCGCGAAATTAGCAGTATACTTTTTTTTTTACAACAATGATTCATCTCATTAAAAACATCACCACTAATAGCACTAATGCATTAAAAAAGTTAAAAAAAAAAATAAATACAACTCCAAGACCAAAACATAACATCATTCATGGCGGGACTCACTGCCACCTAATTAGTGGGAGCACTAATTAGTGCTCCCAAGCATTTTTCTTTTTTTTATTACCATTTCAATTTGTCAAAATTTTTCCTCTAAAATTAGTGACGAAATAATTTTCTCACTAAAAGGTCTCAAAATATTAAAAATTATTAGTGATGAAAATATATTTCTCACCAAATGATCTTAAAATATTTAAAATTAAGTTTCTCAAAAAAAATATATATAAAATTATTTGTGACAAAAATATATTCCTCACTAATAAATATATAATTGGTGACAAAAATTTTTATCACCAAAAGTCTCAAAATTTTGGCGCTACTAAAAAAAATTAGCAGGAAAACCTTCGGTGACGAAATTTAATTTTTCCTCACCTAGAAAGAAGTATTTATTGACGAAAATAAATTGTCACCTATTATTTTTATTTTTTTATTATATGTGACAAAATTTTGTAATTCCTCACGGATTATTCTTATTTAGTGACGAAATTTATTTTCTTCCCTACTTTTCGTCACAATAAATTACTTTTGTTGTAGTGACATTTGTAGTTAAAACTTTCTCTCCCTGACCAATGACCATCATGAATTCGGATCTCCTAGAGTGATTTTCTGTGAGGTGATCTTAAAGTGCGTTTTTTAAATGATTGAGATTTTAATTGTTCAAAAATCAAAAGTATAATAGTACAAAAGTTGGGGTATAACTGATAATCACATTAAAAAAAATCTCAACCATTCAAAAAAATGTCATCACTATCTATATGGATAGGGAAGATAAAAATAGTAGTTAATTAGTAATATTGTTGAAGCAGTTAAACCTCTATTAGTACAATATTGTCCGTTTTAAGCGTACCCTTACGGGTTGAGCGATGTGGGATGGACACCTATTGAGCTCCTACATAGGTCCTAGTTGACTAGCTTCCTGATAAGGGAGTTCCCATAGACACTCGTTGGGCTCTTACATAGGTCACTAGTTGACTGGCTTTCTGAAAAAGGAGTTCCCACAGACACCTATTGGGCTCTCACATAAGTCCCTAATTAACTGACTTCTTGAGAAGAGAGTTCCCACATACATCCATTGGGCTCGCACATAAGTCCCTAGTTAACTGGCTTCCTGATAAGGGAGCTCCCACAGACACCCATTGGGAGTTCCCACAAAGAACACCAAATGAATCAGCCAACTCCCCATTAGCATAATATTGTCCACTTTGGGCGTAGCCTCACGACTTTGTGCTAATTTGAACGAGTTAGTTAACTTATATAGTACAGTGTGGTTTCCCGACGGAATGATGTGGAATGGACACTCATTGGGCTTCCATAATTGTGTACATGGTTGTCAGAGGCAAGACGCATCACTGTGTGGCTCTAGCAAATTAGAAAAGGGACTGGCTTTCCTCAAATCTCAAATCGGATTGAAAGGTATTGTTGAGCCTATGGGGGCCCACCACGAGTCCCATTTCGATAATTTGAACCGTTAAATGTGTAGAGCTCGTCGAGTACTATATACTTATAAGAAATCACATTGATCGAATATCGATAGCTATTTTATCAGATCAAATTTTTGTCAATCGTTTATTTATTCACCGTCCATTTTTTTAATACAAAACTGATTTGATCATGTACCTATTGATATTTAATCAGTGTGATTTTTTATTAATATATAATACTCGATAAGTTTTACACATTAAAACGGTTCAGATTATTGAAATGGGACCCGTGATAGGCTCGGATTAGAGAGAAGCCAGACCCATTAGGAAAATGCAAATGTTGTACTGTGAGAAATAGAATTTTCTAACTGTTCATTTTTCTGTTACTTTTTTTTTTTTTTTCAGATGGGGCTCACACACACATTAGAGCTATTGGAGCTTCTTTTTTAGAGCTCCTAAACATTTTCCGGGTTGAAAAATAAGAAAAAAAGATGGATCAAATTGTCTGATGTCCAGACTATAAAATTTCAAAGTTTTCAATTTTTTTGCTATTACAAAAACAAACAAATGGCTATTTCATTAGTAGAAATATGATATGGCATAGCCCAATAAGAATCCAAGATAACGAACACAACCCATGGTGCAGAACAAACCAACCAACCCATGACAAATTGCAGGGTGGAGGATTGAGGTTGAAACCTAACCCTAGCTTTTTGGGTAGAGATAAAAACGAAATTTAATCAAAATTCTCTTATAATAAAATTTTAATAAATTATGAATAAATACAAAAAAAAAATTCATTGAAAAGTTCAACACATTCCACTATTACTAAAATATTAAACTTTAAAATAATATAACTTTTGATCAAGATGTCGATTTTTAATAAAATTAATATTTTTATAATCCTATCAAATAAGATCCTTGTTGTCTATGAATTTTTTTTTAAAATATATATATTATTAATATGTTACTCTATTTGACATTATTAACATGTTATTCTGATAATATTGTCTAAGAAAAAAAAAGATATTTTACTTTGTTCTTACTCAAATATCCCTCCTCCATAAGGGGTTTACGAAGCAAAATAAATTGAGTTTTCTTTTCACTAAACAATGGTCTAATGGAGGAGTTTGGCTAAATTTTCTAAGATAAAATCAATAACACTTGATACATAAAAGGAAAAGACTATGCTCCGCATCCCTCAAAGGATGTGTACCATATGCACTTCATAACTAAAGAAGAAAATGACAAAAATTCATATTTTTGAGTTATAACTATAAAAAATAAAAATAAAATCATAACCAAACACAACATGAGGCATAACTAAAATCTCACGAGTCATAACTAAAATAATATCATAACTAAACAAGAAAATTGGTCATAACTAAAAAAGAAAATGACACAATTAAGGATGCATATGATACACTTCTTTCAAAGGGTGTATACAGGAGGTGTGCACAGTAGAATTTCTCTACGTAACACTTAAAATTTAAATAAAAAAAAAAGAAAAAGAAGAGAAAGTTATATAGATTCACTTTTTAAATCTAATGATGTGTAAATAAGGTGATTGATTAATTATTAGAAAAGATATAAGAGAATGTTACCTTTAATATTCTAATTATTATTAAACTTAAAAGATAAATTTAATTTTTTATCTTAAATAGCAATGTTCTTCATAGTGTTACTCATCAATCCTCTATTCCACTCATCTAAAAATAAAAATAAAAATTAAAAAATAGCAAATTTCACTTTATCTCCCGTATAAAAATAAAAATAAAAATTAAAAAATAGCAAATTTCACTTTATCTCCCGTATTTTGGTTTATGTACGATTTACCGCCTAACATTTGGAAAGACCATATAACCCCTTGTGTTTTGAGAACTGAAATGTTCTATTAGGTCTGTTAACAATTTAATGAAAACGATTGAAATACTCTTGTATTTTTATCATTTGTTTAGAAGGTAAAGTGTACTTTAACCCCATATGATTTATTCCATGTGTGATTTACCTATTTAAAATTTGAAAATGAGCATATAATCTCCTTAATCTGTCACGTATTTCACAATTATTATTAAGTTAAATAAAATATTTAATAATGTATTTCAATTCACAAATTATATAAAAATTATATGGTCATTTTAAAATATTAAGGGTAATTGCACATGGCCAATTTACGAACGGTGAGGTGAAATTTGTCACAATAAATAAATAAATAAATAAAATAAAATAAAAAAATCCTTTGTTCCATTTCTTATGCTTGTGCACCGAAAATCAAGGCTATAATCATGTGAAGACTAATGAGGTTTACAACAACGATAACATCCCTGGACTGTTCTCAAAAATAAATAAATAATAATAAAATTCCTTGGACCACAACAAACCCGAAAATCAATTGTAAAAGCGGATATCTTTTGACCCAAAAAATTAATTTTAGAGTTTTACTTTTAAAATAAAATAAGTTTTAAATTTTTAAAATTTAAATCTTAGTTTTTAATTTAAATTATTTATCTATTTTTCTTAAGTAAAACTAGTAAAAAAATAATATTTTAGTTACTAAACACAATGAAAAAATATATCTTAGATATTTTATATACAAATTGAGTTTGATGATAAATTTTTTTTTCCGTTGGGTTGATGAATGACATAAATGAAAAGATTAAAATTAAAATTGATAAAATTAAAATGTAAACTTAAAAATTTATTTTATTACAAAAGTCAAATCTTGATTTTTATTTATTTTTTGTGTGTAATTTCTTCACCCAAAAAAATAAATAAATTAGATAATATACTTTACTTCTTATTATGAACTTGTAAATTTTAACATCAATTATAAAAATAAAAATAAAAATTTATTTGAGACACCTAATTTATCACTTTTAAAAATCATCATTAATGATGTGTCCGACTCATCCCCATATGGATGGAGAGGGAGTCCATTTTTGTTAATTATGAATCAGTGCAATCTAGTGAATGCATTTATGCAAGTGGAGAATATACAAATATCAAAATAATGCTAAAGTTACAACCTCACCTGTTCTACTTAGATTAGTTTATTTTAGGGGCACAAAATATTCTGTGTTTTAAATCTGATTGTTTTTTTATCTCAAAATATTTATACAGCAATGATTTAGAGTGTTAATTTTGATACTTTAATGAAACATTAATGACATAACAAGGAGAGAAAAAAAAAAACAAACTAAAACATCACATCACAGTGGGTGGGAGCCACTGCCAGCTCATTAGAGCTGGCTTTGGAGCTAAAAAATTAGAGCTCCAAAGCATTTTTCATATTTATATTTGTTAAATTATGGCTAGAGGGGTTTTGTTTGGTTGGTTTTCATAGTTTGTTTTTAGAAAGAAAAAAAAAATTCAAGACTAGTTTTGTAAAAAAAAAAAATTATTATTGTATAGTTTTCTCTTTTTAAGGATAGAACTAATTTTAAATATTTTTCATATTTATTTGTATCAAAGTAGTTTCTAATTTGTTAGAAAAATTCTAAAAATTCAACCAATTAAGATTTATTTAATAACTATAAGTGTTTTTAAACAAAAAAAAAAACCAAAAAAAAAAAAAAAAACACAGAGAAATTTAGGAACAAGACAACTTTAGTCTAGTTTAAACTCTTCCTACTTTGTCTCACTATATTGTTTAATCTACAAAAGTAGTGGTTAGGAGACATTAGAAAGAGTTGATAGAAAAAATTATATATATAAAAACAAATCACTTTTTTAGTGAAAGTTGAAAGGGAAATAATGGACCCTATGATTTGTATGATAAGAGGGTCATGGAATCCTTTTTGGTTTGAATAAGGTTATAATTTATGAGTACATTTCACTGTACAACAATGCTCTAGGATTTTTAAGAAATGTTATCTGAAGTGTAGCTCACATGAAAGTGATACATTAATCACAACTTGTAAATGTTGTAAATTTTTACTTTTTATTTTTTAAATGAAGTAACATTACAACTTATATGGGAGCAACCAACTATCAAAAGATATAGGCAGAACTAAATCATAACAAAATATCTAAAGTATTTATATGGGTATTGGTTATTTTTGTGAAACTTTCATTTTTTTCCCTATGGTTTAGTTTTATGTAATTTGAAATACTGATAAATTAGTTTTGGTTTCAGAAATAGAATGGAAGATATTCATAGTGAAGGAATTAAGTAAAATTTTGTTTGTTTTGATGATAGTTGTTAAAGTAAGAATTGTTAAATTATTTTTATATAAAATAATAAAACAAATAAAAAATACAAAAAATTAAAATTAATGTTCCAAAAAAATGCCCAACATGTAAAAAATAAAAAAATTCTAGTCCGACGGACTATTTTTCTAATACCACCTCCATCTTCTCTATGTCAATCCCCCTTCCAACCTCCATCCTAATTCCTTTCTCCATCTCAATCACTTCCCCAACTTTACAAACAAACACAACACTAAATGGGTCTCACCTCCATCCTAATCCCATCCCACCCTATATACCTCGAAACAAACGGGGCCTAATGACTCGTGATAACACGCAAAGTTGCAAACACCTCTTCTAAATTTACAAATTAATTGCATGTTTTAGGTAAAGAAAAAAAAAATTTAAATGCAAGTAATTGATAAGAGTAATCTATTAACAGTGCAGTCATGACTTTGCTAGGTAAATTAATTTTGACTGAATAAAATGTCAAGAAAAAAAAAATTTAAATGCAAGCAACGGATAAGAATGATATATTGACAACATAGTCATGACTTTGTCAAGTATTTTATTTTCAATGAATAAAATGTTAAATACACTTGGATTATTATATTTTAGGGGCTTATAACTTTCTATGTTTAAGACCTTCTCTTATTTCAAAATACTCATGATGTTAAATTAAAAAATGCCCAACATGTAAAAAATAAAAAATTTCTAATCCGGCGGACTATTTTTCTAATACTACATCCACCTCCTCCATCACAATCCCCCTTCCAACCGCCATCCTAATCCTCTCCTCTATCTCAATCTCTTCCCCAACTCTATAATATGAATTTTGTATAAGAAGAGAACAGAGGCTTAGAAGAACAGAGACTGGAGTGAGAGAGAGAGAGGTTTTTGAGACTGTAACTAACTGCCTTTTTTATTCCAAAAGTCCCCAGGCATTTATAAGGCAAATGAGAACACACCAACTACAAGATGTAACAACCATAAATAAAAACGTGGCACGAATTGTGGAAGCATAAGCAACCATTACAACCATTATTGAAAATAATCTCCAACTAATTCCTATTCTAGAGGCAGCAGTTCAACAGTTCCTATTCTCATGCATGACCCACTCCCAAAAGAAGCAAGGCAACGGACATATCATTCCTCCCCCCTGGAATTATCCTTGTCCGCAAGGATAAAGGCAGGGTAAGTCTTCAAAAAATGCCAACGATTCTCCCAGGTTGCATCCTCAATTGGTGCCCCAATCCATTTAACCAAAATCTCGGTTTTGGGGCGATAATGTCCCTTTTGAACAATACGGGTGTCCAACACGGCTTCTGGTTGAGGAAGGATCTCGAATGTGTCCGAAACTGGAAGAAGTTGATGGGAAACAATGGTGGTGGGACCGTCGTGTTTCTTGAGAAGACTAACATGAAAAACATTGTGGATTTGGGAACCCTCTGGCAGCTCGAGCTTGTACGCCACTGGACCAATTTTAGCAAGAACCTTATAAGGACCAAAGAACCGAGGTGAGAGCTTCATAGAGCTGCGAAAAGCCACTGATTTCTGCCGGTATGGTTGGAGTTTGAGGTACACAAAATCACCGACCTCAAAAACAAGCTCTCGTCGATGTCGGTCAGCCTGGGATTTCATTCGGTCACGAGCGACAGTCAAGTTACGACGTAATGCACTAAGGATGTCATCTCGGTTGCGCAAGAGGTCGTCAACAGCCTGAACTTTTGTTGTGCCGGAATGTAGGAAAGTAAAGTGGGTGGAGATACCCCGTACACGGCTTCGAAAGGGGAAATTTGGTGGACGAGTGAGTGGAAGTGTTGTAGCTATATTCAGCCCATGCAACCCAGTCCATCCATTTTCTTGGCTGCCCATGTGTGAAGCACCGAAGATACTGCTCGAGCGTGCGATTAACCACTTCTGTTTGACCATCGGTTTGTGGGTGATAATTAGAACTCATGCAAAGATCTGTACCTTGGATCTGAAATAAAGTTTTCCAAAATAAACTTATAAAGATTTTATCTCGGTCAGTTACAATGGATGCCGGCATGCCATGAAGTCGAACAATTTGTTCGATAAAGGCTTTAGCCACAATGATGGCAGTAAAGGGGTGCTTGAGTGGAATAAAATGTGCATATTTGGTCAAGCGATCCATGACCACCATGATGACAGTTTTACCGTGGGACAGCAGCAACCCTTCTACGAAATCCATGGAAATGTCAGTCCATACTTTGGCTGGTATTGGCAATGGTTGTAATAGGCCAGCGGGTCGCAAGCAATTAGATTTGCATCGTTGATAGACATCGCAATTTTTGATGTATTCCTTGATTGCAGTTCGCATGTGAGGCCAAGTAAAGCTTGCGTTAATGCGGCTCAATGTTTTATGATAGTCAAAGTGTCCACCACTTGGTGACGAGTGATGTGTTGACAAAATTGCTGGAAGTAGTGGCGAAGTAGGACTTAAATAGATGCACTCTCCTTTGAAAAGAACCCCATCACGTAAAAAGTGTTGCGGCTGGAGGTGTGATGGAATTGATTCCAGAAATTGACTATAGAATGGATCGTTGGCTACCTCACATTGGAGTGTGGCCCACCAATCGGCAACGGGCAGGGACACAGCGAGGAACTCTAGTTCGCCAACTCGTGAGAGAGCATCCGCACCACAATTCTCTCTTCCTTTCTTGTACTCAATGACATAATCATAGACAAGGATCTTCGGTAACCACCGTGTTTATGCCGGTGTCGTGATCCGTTGCTCTAGCAAATATTTTAAACTCCTCTGATCCGTCCGAACAATGAAAGGTTTACCGATTAAATATGGTCTCCACTTGCGGATGGCCTTCACTATTGCTAGCATCTCCTTCTCGTAGGTTGATAGAGCTAAGGCCGACGGTTTGAGAGCTTCACTGAAGTAGGCTACGGGTTGGTCTTGTTGTGACAAAATAGCCCCGATGCCCACCCCACAAGCATCGTATTCAATCACAAAGGATTGTGAAAAATCTGGTAAACGTAGGACTGGAGGAGATGTGAGGGCCTGTTTGAGTTGTGAGAAAGCGGCTGTGGCCTCAGAAGTCCAATGGAACCCATCTTTGGATAATAAGCGAGTGAGAGGCGCAGCAATCCCGCCAAAGCCTCTGATAAATTTTTGGTAGTATCCGGCTAAGCCAAGGAAGCCATGAACACCTCGAGTGGAAGTGGGAGTTGGCCGCTCAAGGACTGAACTAATCTTTTCGGGATCGACGGCCACCCCTGCCACTGAAATTGGGTGGCCCACTCATAAGTCCCATATAGAAAAATGTTACTCCTCAAGTAAGGCCGTAGCAAGTCGTTCATCAAACTCTGGAAGGTGGAGGGGGCATTTGTAAGGCCGAAGGGCATAACAACAAATTCGTAATGTCTGTCATGTGTGCGAAAAGCAGTTTTGTGTATATCAGCCTCTTGAACCCGTATTTGATGGTTTCCGGCGCGGAGGTCAAGTTTTGAAAAATACCTGGACCCGTGTAATTCGTCGAGGAGTTCATCTATGACCGGGATCGGATACTTATCTTTGATTGTAATATTGTTGAGAGCTCGATAATCAACACAAAACCGCCAACCTCCGTCCGCTTTTTTGACGAGCAATACCGGTGAAGAAAATGGGCTGGTACTGGGCCGAATCAAACCTGAGTCAAGAAATTCCTTCACCATCCTTTCAATTTCTGCTTTTTGATAATAAGGGTATCGGTAGGGTCGGACGCTCACTGGTTCTTGATTTGGTTGTAATGGTATGTGGTGATCATGGGTTCGTATTGGTGGCGAGGTATTGGGGACGGCAAAGACATGCTCAAACTCAGTGAGGATTTGGGCGAGGTCGGCGGGGTGGTCCTTGTCTGAAGTTGGTTCATGGCTTGGAATGATTTGAAAGAATAAGGCTGTGCCATTGAGGTGGAGTAGTTCCTTATCACTCAAGGCAGTGGGTGTAGGTTGCTTAAGGCCTTGAAACATACAAGATTTTCCTCCTTGCTGGAAGGACATTGTGAGACGGCTGTAATCAGTCTCGATCGGACCAAGGGTGGCCAACCATTGAACTCCCAAGACCACTTGACAGGCCGCTGCAGGTAGAACATAAAAATCTGCTTGAATTGGAAAGTCTTGGACTAGGAGAGTGAGCCCAAGGCATTGTCCATCGCAGTCGGTTTTGTTCGATTGGCCGCCATTACTTGCAACTTTTGATCGCGTGCTACGGGCAACCCGAATTTCGTGACTATGGCTTGATCAATGAAATTGTGGGTGCTTCCCCCGTCAATGAGGACAGTCACTGCTTTACTTTGTAATTTGCCTACCACCCGGAATGTTTGAGGATGTGTCGTCCCAGCTATTGCATGGAATGAGATTTCAGGGAGCAACTCGGCCATATCGGGTTCTTCGGGAGGGTCCATAGCAACGGTAGGTTCGAGGATTAGTGACTCTTTAATCATAAACAACTGGGGTCTTTGACAGCGGTGACCCGGAGTGAATTTCTTATCGCAATAATAGCACAGTCCTTTTTCGCGACGTTCGCATGCCTCTTGGCTGGTAATTTGTTGGACTGGAATTGGAGCATTGGCTGAGGTTTGACCCACCTTCGATGTGGGTGGGGGTCCTAAAACACCGGCTGTGTTGTTTGGAGAAAACCGTGGGGTGAAGGCTGCCACTTGAGGACGAAAGGAGCTATTCCCTTTTTTTTTATAGAGCATTGCGCTCTTCAATTAGCCGTGCCGCTCCAATGGTGTCGGCCAAGGTGCGGGTTTGCTTGAGTTTGACATCCAGGCGTATGTCGTCACGAAGTCCCGCAATGAAACACCCAATCAAGTAATTTTTGGGCAACCCATCAACACGATGTGAGAGCATCTCGAAGGCTTCCTGATAGGTAGCCACTGTCGAAGTTTGTTTGACGCTTCTGAGGGATCCTCATAATTGGTGGGACCGAAGCGGAGCAAAAGGGCCTTGGTTAGCTCGTTCCAAGTTAATGGACCTCTGAACTTGGTTAGCCATCGAAGCCACTGGAGAGCTATGCCTTCGAGGTGAAAAAAAGCAAGCTAAACTTGTTGGTCAGGAACAACACTCTTGAAATCAAAGTATTGTTCAGCCTTAAAGATCCAGCCCGTCGGATCGTCTCCGTTGAATTTAGGAAATAATAGCTTCAAGTGTGTGTGGTTTCGGTCTGGAGTGTTGTTGCGATTTTGGTCTGGAGTGTTGTGAGTAGTGGAAAGGGGTTGGTTATGGGAGGTTTCGGCTGGGGCAAATGGGTTATCGATGGAAGAGGTGTTATGCGAGACTCGTATGGTCTAGAGTTCTGTCAAAATAGTTTGGAGGGTGCCGTGGATTTGGTCGAAGTTGGATTCATGACGAGCTAATGCTTCGTTGACTTTACTACGAAACTCAGCATTGCTTTTGGTCCGCGTATCCATGTAACCTAGCTCTGATACCAAATAATATGAATTTTGTATAAGAAGAGAACAGAGGCTTAGAAGAACAGAGACTGGAGTGAGAGAGAGAGAGGTTTTTGAGACTGTAACTAACTGCCTTTTTTATTCCAAAAGTCCCCAGGCATTTATAAGGCAAATGAGAACACACCAACTACAAGATGTAACAACCATAAATAAAAACGTGGCACGAATTGTGGAAACATAAGCAACCATTACAACCATTATTGAAAATAATCTCCAACTAATTCCTATTCTGGAGGCAGTAGTTCAACAGTTCCTATTCTTATGCATGACCCACTCCCAAAAGCAGCAAGGCAACGGACATATCACTCTACAAACAAACACAATACTAAATAAGTCTCACCTCCATCCTAATCCCATCCCACTCTATACACCCCAAAACAAACGGGGCCTAATGACTTGTGATAACATGCAAAATTGCAAACACCTCTTCTAAATTTACAAATTAATTGCATGTTTTATGTAGAGAAAAAAAAATTAAATGCAAGTAATTGATAAGAGTAATCTATTAACAGTGCAGTCATGACTTTGCCAGGTAAACTAATTTTGACTGAATAAAATGTCAAGAAAAAAAAATTAAATGCAAGCAACAGATAAGAATGAGATATTGACAACATAGTCACGACTTTGTCAAGTATTTTATTTTCAATAAATAAAATGTTAAATACACTTAGATTATTATATTTTAGCGGCTTATAACTTTCTATGTCTAAGATCTATTTATTCTCTGTAAGAAGGATTAACTTGAACCCACTAATTAATTGGGCTCAATCGAAGCCCAATCGGAAAGCCCAACATTTGGTAAGCTTGGAGAAATTATTACCAAATGGGACCAAGTGAATTCTATTGAATGAGTCTATTGAATGAGTTCATAAGAAAGCCAACAAACTGGGCCGAAGAAGACCTATCAAGAGCATATATCTCTAAAGAGAGTCTAACAAGCCCATCCAAGGAGGCTCAGATCATACGAGTATCGGAGGAGGTTAACCGTTGTTTTCAGAAGAGATGAAACCCTTAGGAGGAGATCCATTCTCTGAGGTATTGGCTTAGTCTTGAAAGGGTTTGGAACCATGAACCTAGAGACCTATTTGAGCCCACTAAATTAATTACGCCCAATAGTCCAAGGTTGGTGGGCCCAAATTTATCGTAAGTCCAATATTGGTGGGCTCGGATTTATCGCCATCAAACCGGCTGAATTGCTCAAAGCCTCGAAACACATTGTAGAAGTAATATACCTAGCCAAAACACATATTATCAATTACATAGCAAGCCTAAACACTATTTTGGAATACAAATAGTCCATTCATGAGCAATGTAGCAATCAAGGTAATGACAAGCCACTTTTATCATGCACGATAATATTGAACAGCCCTCTAATTGTGCAACCTCATTGACACATTCTTCTAGTGCTGTAACCTTATCCACCAACTTCGGCAACACTTGTCTACCACGAGCACATGTGGGTGGATCGTACTAGGAAAAGAAACTACAAGCCCTATTTTTCTATAATTGCTATCAAATATAAACAAATGAGCAATTGTTTTTGGGTGAATCTTCCATATAGTTATTATCTTCTTCAAATTGAACATAATACTTTATTCTCAATTTTCTATAAATACTGAAAAATTGCTAACTGACTTTACTGGAAAATTGTATACACTTACTCCATAATTAGGACAACCCAAGAACCTCCTAGTAGGATTAGCATGAGTCCACCAAGTTCTGATCTTCGCTCTTAACCCACAGCTGCAACAAGTCAACTCACCTTAATTGTTCCCACCCCAGCTATTACCTTCACTCATATTTGTCTTTCACTTTGATGGAATAGAAAATAGTTTGCATGACTATGAAGAGAAAAAGAAGGTCAACAATGCAAACAAAAACAAAGTCAACAATAGAGAGAAAAATAAGGTCAACAATGGAGAAAAAACGAAGAGGAAAACTAGTATAAAACAACCAAAACGAACCCATTTCTTACCTCTGTGTCAGAGTCCAAAGCTTTTTGGAAAATCAATTATGAAATTGTTGTCTTTCTTCGATGCGTGGCTTCAATTACGGGTTGAATCACCAGGTGGGTTGCATGGAGCTGTAAATCACAATGGAGGGGTGTCTTTTGCCCTAAATCATGAAGATTAGGTCAATTTTGGCGTCCAAATCAGTTTTCCGTTAACTAATAGTGACGAAGACGGATAGGGGGATTGGATTGCAACACGGGTGGAATGGTGGGGTACAAATTGTCACAATTTGAAACCTGGGGTTTAATTTGAAAAGGTGCTAAACCTTAGGGTTTTTTGTGTAATTTCCCCTTAATTAATTAATTAATTAAAAGCAAACACATAACACTAAAAAACTGAGGTGATACCCATTGCTAATACCTACCAACTTCAAACTTGTAAGGGAGACTCCTAATTGCATATCTAGCAACTAATCTGAACTTTTCTCAAAGCCTTTTCAAAGCTTCCATTGAGGGAATTTTGTATCTAGAGAATGACAGAAAATGTACAAAACCACAAGAGGCTTCTCATTTACACTTTATTTGATCAATAACATCACAGGAAACTAACGACTTGCCTGGTGTCAAAAAAATTGTAGATATATATGCCAAAGTCCTTTTGGAGCAACAATATATCATGATCCATTACCCTCCCTATGTTGTTAAAATAGACAAGGAATTGTAAAAAAAAAAAAATGGAAATTCTTGAATATATAAATATGTATAACAAAAGGATTTGAAAAGGAAAATCACTGTAATTTATTTATTTTTTCACTTTTGAAGTTGTTCTTCTACAATCCCTTTGGAATTGATCATGTTTTCTAGCAATCAAACAAAGCCATACAAAGGCAAAAAGAAAATGAGGTAGAGATTTCAAGAATGCCAAAGTTAGAGAACAAAAACTTTATGAGATCTATGAGCCACATTTGCATTTGCACAGCTTGACTAAAAAAACACCAACAAACTACAATTACCTTGACATGTCCTAACAAAGTTACAAATTTCATAATACACAAACATTTACTTGTGCTCAAAATGGCTCTTGCATTGGTTTTCAACCACTCTCAATGATTAAGCAAATAAATTATCATCATGTCATTAAAAAGGTTATTTATCGGTCTTGACCCATCCACATTTAAGTATACAAGACAGACATCTCAGTTTTTTTTGGAACAATACATTCATCATGGTACAAGTAATGAAAATAATGTCCAGTAAAAAATTGAAACTCCATACTTATATATACGATAGTGCTGTCTCCTAAAAGGCTTTCATAGACTTTTTTTGCAAGCTGCTTGAAAATTGAACCATATTGAAAAAACAAACAACCAAGAAATTTGGCTAGGAATTAGAAAGCATATATCACACATGCTCAACCTAAATTGCTCCACGGGATTCCTCCAGTTCCGCATAAGCATACTTTAGCATTTCTGAATCTAACCATGAAAAAACAAAAATAAGAAATAAAGGAGAGAAGGAAATGAAAGCAAACAGAAGCTACTCTAGCCTTGCTAGAAGAAAAGTAGTCAGCCAGTAAATTGTTAAACCAATATTAAATTAGGAATGTAAGGATAAAGTTCTATGAATGGACAATAAAAAACCAACAAATGATTAGAAAGTTTATCCACCAAAGATAAAGTAGAGAATTATAAATTATCAATACCAGGAAGAGCCTTCAAGCTCGTTGAAATACTTTGATTGTACAGTATACTGCACCACGTTTTGCATGTCATGTAGCATAATTGTACCAAATAGTGGACTTTGATTCTCTCTATTTCATATATGTAATAGAGTTTTTTCATTACATATTTAATGATTATAAAAAATATTACTGTCAGAAATATCTCAATTGAACTTCTTAGCTATAAAATTATAAATCCATTCTTAATGATTCCAAAGAATATGTACTTGGAAACAATAAATGGTATCAAATGCCACATATTTTACAGGACAACGTCAAATTCCAAAAGAAATAAGAGAAGTAACCCATGATAAAGATGGTGAGACAACTGACAAGTGAGATGAGAATGGCCAGGCATATAAATAAAATTATTCCTTAGCATTTGGATTGAGCACCAACAGACAAAAAAACAAAGAATAAAAATAAATGAATTAAAATAGTGAGATGGGTTGGAAACAAATACTATTTTGCCGCTAGAAGCATATGGATCGATTTTCCTATAAAAATTCTCCTTTTGAATGATGTTTTCGATAAAAAAATAATTAAGAGTGACTCATTATCTATTACATTTTTTACAGGAAACATATACTTTGGCAGGATCTAAAATAATTTCCCCAATTCTTAATAAAAAAGGATAAATTACCAATATGTCTTATTTTTTGAACTTATTACCCGTTAAGTCCTATTGATAAATTTATCAGTCTTTCTTGTTTTTATGAATAAATTTATAGTAATAAATTTATCAGTCAGGACCTGTATATAAATAAGTCTAATTAATGGAATTGATTGGTAAGTGCCCAAAAAAAATGCATTGAAAGAAAAAATCGCTTCATATGAAAATTTTCCCTACCAAACTTTCCAAGAACCCCCTCATTTGGGAGGGACACAACTTTTCTAATTTCAAGAACTCTCACTACATAATGCATGAGTGAAAGGCATTACCTCCGAATGTATTCAAAGCCTAAAATTCATCTAGTGCAAGTGTAATATCATGCCAATATAAGGGAGATTGGTTATGGTTCTTACTTTTTGAATGCTAGAAATCTTTTCCGAGCCATCCACTGCAGTTCTTCCAATAGGAGCACAATAATAGATTACATTTTTCCACTAATGTAAACAATTAAGGATGTATAATTGTCTTTGTGGTATGAACATGTTAAAAAAATTGTCTTTGTGGTATGAACATGTTAAAAAAATATGAAGCAACATAGCTCGTTGAAAGCTTTCCAATATATTACCTTATACCCATAGCAAAAAGCGGACAAGGGGGTATATTACCTTAGACCCAGCTCCAACCATTTCGGCAAATCAATATCAAATGAAGGGAGAGTTAAATTTTTCATCAAATCAAACGAGTTTCATCAAATTTTATATGTGG